AATGATATGAACGCATCATAATTTTCAAACAAGAAAATAAAAATTAAAATCGGTCTGTTTCATTAATTGTATTAATAGCAAAAATAACACATTTTAACTTGAATGATTAATTAGCTACTCCTAATTTAATCGAAATGCTTATTGACGGATAAGTTTAAAGCAAATTGATCGTCACTTTCAAATTTGAAGGCAGCTCAAGTCTGGAATTGTAAATCATCAATCATCGTTCATCGTTTAAACGTTGCAAAAATTCGCTATGAAATCATTTACGGTCTAATACAGTAAAAATGAAACCGTTTCAAAAACCTTCTGCGTTCATGACTAATAAAAATAAAAGAATAATGGCTGAATATAATAAAGGTTTGTATAATCTCTCATTAAAAAGACCCTTTCTGAAAAATTTAACACATATGTCATAATCACAGCTTCATGTATATTCAACTCAAATTATTCCCCTTCTCCATAATGCAATGTAATTAATTATATAATTATATAATATAATTACAAATTGCAAAATGACACACTTTAATGTAGCGCAGTTATCGCAAAAAATAGTGATAGCAGTGTAACTGTAAATACATTACATTCTAATAAGAAAATTATGGACTCAATACAAGGTATTGGCAGCGTTACAAAGAAAGAAGATTGCTGTAATATTTCTCATCTGCTCAGATGAGCCGAGAAAGAAATATTATATTATATTATCTGAGCCTGTTCAGAAAGAATGCCGCGAATACTCTACTGCATCCACCATAATCAATTGGATAAACTTCTACTGCGGTCAACTCACGAAATGGTAGAATTATAAAAAATCTTCGAGTCCATGGCTTTGCTAGCCATCCAAACCACGTAGGTCAACTCAAGATGCCTTTTCTGTGGCCCGAGGATTTTTCAGTCGCTGTGTTCGAACGACTTCCGCAGATTTATATACTGACTTTTGCAATAAGTTTTTCCAGCTNCTCCGAAACGTTTGCTCTTATAAGAAATGGTGAAATTTTTTGGCGATTTTTTTCTGCTTTTAAAGACCAAGTAAAAAATGAGAAATAAATTGGATATCAGTTATCCCTTACAGTTATCAATGTAATCAATTATAAATTTCAGTCAATTTTAACCAATTATAAATTTTAACCTATAATCAATTTGATTAGGAATAGGAATAGGAATAAATTTTACATAAAAGTAGGGATTGATGTTTAGACATAAACTCGGGATTTCGAGTGAGGAGCTAGAACCTGTCTCTTATACACATCTAGATGTGTATAAGAGACAGCTATGTAACATTTAGTTGGAGATTTTCCCCAATATGTAGTGAGAAAATCTGGGCAATCTATGCAAACTAGATTAAAATTTATTGTCAATAATAAATTATTGTAATAATCTATAGAACCTCTGGTATAACGGAGTTCAATAAAATTAACAGTTTAACCAAGTTCAAAGTTAGTATGTGATGTATTTTCGGCTTGGTTGTCACTTAGCTCAAGAATTTAAACCGCCGTTTGCCGAAGAAAGTTATTTGGTTTCAGTGAATATATGTTAAGTAATTCAGGTTCGACTCAGATTGTTGCTTTTATCTTCTGAATGACTTACTTGTTCAATTCGTTTATGACGGAATGTTCTTAACCAATGATTATGTGGTCAATGCCATAATTAGGTATATATTGTAAATATTTAGACGTAATTTTGCAAAATTTTTTGATTGAATAATTTGCCGACCTCACAGATAAATGAATTTTTATGATATTCATAATATATCAACGCTGTTCAAGTCAATATTTTCACAATTGCAGTCACAGGTTGCGGGCATGGAGAGATGCAATGTCGTGATGGACTCTGTATCCCCTGGACGCTCTGGTGCGACGGCGCACCGAATTGTCAGGATGGCAGCGACGAAGCCGACTGCCTTGGTCGTGAGTACACTTTTCAGTGTATCTGTTAATATAATTCCATTGGATGTTTAATGCATCATCATTATGCCTGTATTTTTGCTCTCGCCTTCCTCACCTTCCATATGCCTTGTTATCAAAAGGACGCCGCCGCTACTAACCCGAAGGGCTCGCCCCTGAAGGACAAAGGCTACTTGCAATGGACAAACCGAGGCATTAAATAAAATCAATCTGACACTCATAATACCCCTTGACCTGAAATCCAACGGACAGTTTTGTTTGTCAGCTGCATGAGCACAAACAAAACGCTTCTAGATCCTTTGAAACGCTTCGATAAATTTTGCAGCTGGAATTTTCAAAAATTTTAGCTGAAATTAGCTAGATTTTACGAATCTAAAGCTCAAACTTTTGCCGGATTCTATTTCATCCATGATAAATGACTTATGCGTAAGTTTAATTGTTATAGAATACATTATTCAGATTAGATTAGATAAAGAAAAGTATATTCTGTTATTCTATGCTCTACATTGTAATTGATAATTTGTAATCATGCAAATTGCTAAATAACTATTATCTACTTTGTCATACAACAGAAAAAAATTTATTCTTCCTACGTCACCGAGTTAGCGTTCTTCAAAATTACTGCTTGTCTCAGTTTTATTCGCTGCTGAACATTTTGTACGGTACAAATTTAGCTTAGTGGTTGTCTCGTCCTCAAAAAAATAAAATTATTATTCTGAATATGCTATATAGAGATGATAGCTGAAAAACGCAACGAGAGTTTTCTTCGTACTTATGCAAACTATAGTTATGGCTAAATTTGTAAATAACTGGTTAAAGGATAAATTTTTCCATGATTTGCATTAGTAGGAATTTACCTCAACACGTGTCACAGGGTCAAAATACGTAACATCAATATCACACTTACCTGGTTTACAAAATAAATCCATTGCTTCTTTCACTGGCCTTAATAACCAATCTTTAATTATTTCATGTTGGCGCCACTCTCATGAGAGTCTTTGGTTTGAATTGTTTCGGCTTTGGTGAGGACATATATGATCAACCCAACAAAAATAATGAGCGAGGGGATGATAATATTTACTGTAACTATACCAGTAAAGCAAATATCGAGCACGCTCGCTATTGGGGGCGCGTCTATGTCGTTGTGAGACCCCTCTGGGAGGGCTAAATAGCCTCCACTTCAACCTCACTGCAGAGTTGTGGGGAAATGGTTCCCCAGAGTGATGCGTCCTGTAAGGCTCTACCCGGTTGGCTTGGACCAACGGTTTTTTCTGATTTGCGACTTGGAGACCCGGCTGCAGGGTCCCTGTACCTCCACCTCCTGCTCGGTGCCGACGTTAAACCCAACTCGTACCCAATCACCTTATGCCCTACCTGCATCACGCGCATAACATCTTCTTGCATGGGTGGAGGATCTGTCTTGAGCAACAATTGCAGACGCTGGTTCCACCTCAAGTGACCTCACTTCCAACCCTTAGACACTATATACCAGCAACTGGTTCTGATCGTCGTGCCTCTTATTGGCCAACACATCCGTGCGGTAAATCCACCCGTGTACACCGGTTCCCTCCTCACCGGTGCGCTCCTCGACTCTTCGGCGTCTACCTGACCCCTGCCTGGGCCTGATGCCTCCCTCTCCGTCACGCCCAGTCTCTCCTGCTCGACCAAAAGCCAGCACACCGCCAACACACCATCAAAATCATAACATCCTACAACTCAACATTGATAGCCTACGCACCAAGCACGGCGAACTCAAACACTCTGCCCAATTTGCAGGAAGGAGTCGAAAGTGGCATGAGTACAGAAAAATATAATAAAGCCAAGCCAAAACCCATATTAAACCAAAAAGACCCAGGTGCATTGGAGACCCGAAAAACGCTGGTTCGCGTATCTGATGACTCAAAATGTTTTGCGCGCACTATTATCCTATGTTGCAAACTCTTTGATAAATTGAAAGCTAAAAATTTCATGTATTTTAGCTATCGTTGGCCAGATTTTTCAAATCTGCAAAAAAACAGGAGAAGGGATAATTTTGTCTGGATATGCATTAGGATGCTTTTAAATGAACCTGTGTCAAAAGGTCAAGGGATTTGCTCTCAATGTCACACTAGCCTGGTTTACAATTTTATTTCATTGACTTCATTCACGGGCTCAAACAAAAAGTCTTGAAATATTTCATGTTTGTGCCATCCACATGAGAGTTCTTGATTTGCACTATTTCTGCTTCGGCATGCGCAGATAAATTTTAAACCTAAAAAACCAAAGAAGCTAGAAGATGATACATATAACATTGAACTCTTGGATTTCGTAACTACTGAGCAGAAGATGTAGCACATAAACTATCATTCACTATATACGTATATAATGCCTACCGCAGCATCACAACGCCTCCAACACAACTAGCGAGCTTTGTGGCAGCTTGTTTTGGTAAATTTGCAAAATCATTAATTCCGTTATATTCACGAACAGTTTGCACCTCAGATATTCCATTCTCTTGAATGGAAATAGAGAGTTAAAATGTACTGAAATGCTATCTAGTCGCTAATGTACAAAATAGTCAAGCTCAAAGATAAAAAATTATTATTGGCATTACCGCATTAGTTATAATTTTAATATTAATTATAACTTCCGGATGAACATTTGCAGCTAATTTACTTATTTAAATATTTGGATGTTAGACGTGCATATGACAAACATATCAACTTTCTGCTTGGCACGCATAACGAATAAAAATATTCTTCCAGTAACCTGCAAGCCGGACGAGTTCGCGTGCGGCTCCCTATGCCTCCCCATGTCCGTTAGATGCAACATAACAGCAGAGTGCCCCGGCAAGGAAGACGAACTAAATTGCCCAGGTGAGAGAACTTTTGATGGAACTTGAACTCATTGTAACATTTAGTTAAAGATTTTCCGCAGTATGTAGTAAGAAAATCTGGGCAATCTATGCAACTGAATTAAAATTTATTTGAATAATTGTAATAATCTATAGCATCTCTGTAGAACGTCTGGTATAACGGAATTTAATGACATCAATAGTTTAACCAAGGTCAAGGTTAATATGTGATGTTCTTTCGACATGTGTAGTACTTTACTCGAGAATTTTGACCGCTGTTTGCTGAGGAAAGTAATTTAACTTCAGTGAATATATGTTATGTAATCCAGGTTCGACTCTGATTGTTGCATTTATCTTCTGAATAACTTACTTGTTCTATTCGTTTATGACATTATGTTCTTATTCAATGATAATGTGGTGGATACCAGAATTAAATAAATATTGTAATTATTTAGACGTGTTTTGTGAAATTATTTTATTAAACAATTTGCACATCACATATAGGAAAGTAAATTTTTATGACATTCAAATTATATCAACGCTGTTCAAGTCAATATTTTTACAATTGCAGGCACAGGTTGCGTGCCTGGAGAGACGCAATGTAGTGATGGACTCTGTATCCCATGGACGCTCTGGTGCAACGGCGCACCGAATTGTCATGATGGCAGCGACGAGGCCGACTGCCCTGGTCGTGAGTACGCTTTTCAGTGTCTCCGTTTATACAATTCCATTGGATGTTTAATGCATCATCACTAAACCTGTATTTTTGCTCTCGTCGTTCTCCCCTTCCCTATGGCTTGTTACTACCCTATCAAAGTTTTTATTCCTGTCAGCCGCTGGTGCAAGGACGCCCCAAGCTCGCCTTGAGCGTAAATTAGCGGCTGTATGTCCGCTTCCTATTGCCAGAGCGAAGGTTCCGATTGCCAGAGCGAAATAAGCGCCGAATCAGATTCCTGTCGATTACCTGGCGAGCTTGGGGCGATCGTGGGGCGCGCGTGTTAAGCGCCTGAAGCCTTCCAGTGAGGCACGGCCGAACCTAGCAAGCGACTAAAAAACGCCCCCTCTGTGGGGGGCAGGGATGGGCTCTCGATTACCCACGTTACATGTTTCTGTTTCTCTTGAGCGAAGGTAATGGTAACAACTAAAGAAAACGCACTCAGTAGCACAATAATGTAATTTGAAAACAATACAATTCTTCCTTACCTGGAAATTCTTCCACTTCGAAACGAATTACATGATTCAAGTTGATCTTTAGCTACAATACAAAGGGTATAATCACTTCTAAAGTAAGCAACATTGTCCCTCAATAACAAGCGCTCGCTATTTTCTAGCGTTCACCGGTATGATGCGTGCTCTCACAGCATCAAACATTCTCTCATGTCACCAGCACCATGCATTTTTCCACGACACCAGCACCATGCATTCTTCCACGTCAGCAGCACCAAGTATTCTACCACGCCATAAGCACAATGCATTCATTAACATCACCAACACTATTTCATTCTACCGCGCGAAATGATGCATTCTTTCACGTCACCAACACCATGCATTCTTCCACGTCATCATCACCACGCATTCCAACACGCCAAAAGCACCATGCATTCTATTACGTCATCATTACCATGCATTCTTTCACGTCACCATCACCATGCATCCTTTCACGTCATCATCACGATACATTCTACCACGCCAAAAGGACCATGCATTCTATCACGTCATCAGCACCATGCATACTTCCACGTCACTGACACCAGGCATTTTTCCACGTCACCAACACCATGCATTCTACCACGCCGAAAGCACCATGCATTCTTCCACGTCACCAACATCATGCATTCTACTATGTCACCATCACCATGCATTCTACCACGCCGAAAGCACCATGCATTCTTCCACGTCACCAACACCATGCATTTAACCACGTCACCAGCACCATGCATTCTACCATGTCACCATCACCATGCATTCTACCACGCTGAGAGTACCAAGCATTCTTCCACGTCACCAACGCTATGGATTCTACCTCGCCAAAAGTTTGCTTGTGGCCATGGGACGTAACGGTCGTGCGGTGTGCTGCGCGGTCCCGGTTTACATTTCATTTGCCGGTTTAACTCTGTTAACGCATTCTGCACTGAAGTGTTCCAATGAATAGTCTGAAATTAATTAAAGCCAGTAAAAATTGAGTGCGAGTAACAATTGATTGAGAAAAACTGAGTACGAGTACATACTGCACGTAATCTGTTAAATTTGCAGTAAATTAGCATTAATTTTGGTCAAAAATAAACAGTTTTTGTTCAGTAAAGTCAGTGAGTAAAAGAGAATAAAATGTGAAAAGAAAGAAAAAACGAAAAGTGCATTGTTCAGTAAACATGGCGGCCAAAGTCTGTGTTAGTAAACCTACCGGAGAATGCCTGGAATGCAACATAATTTTTGACAATTGGCACATAGATGTTACTCATGCAGACAGTTTTGTCACTTCGAATGCTCACTACTTCCAGAATACCAACTTGTAAATATTTAAAAACTAGGGCATAATTTATATGTAGAAAATGTGTGATGAACGAGGGGTGGGTTAATAAGGCATGGAGAGTGTGCAAGCTGTTCTAGCGTGGGAGAGAAATATGCCTAGCATGAATATGTCTCTGTTCCGCTCAGGCGCGGTTTCCCTTTACTTCTTTTACTCCCTCTTCTCACTCTCCCGCATCCCTCACTGCTGCCCGACATAGTACCACTCCCAGCCCGACCGACCGCATCGTTGCCCCTCCCTTTTAAATGCCTCGAACAAGAGGCACTTAACTGTTAAGAGACGCGTTTGCTGGAGATATATTCAGGGCAAGTGAGATTGGAAGAATGAAGAAATGAGCTGTAATTATTCTCACCCTAAGATCTTTCCCAAATTTTCAACATTTAGAAGCCAAAACCAACGCGAATGCAAAAATGAGGACTGTCAATATTTATCCGTTATTGTGCTGGAACATTATTAAAAATGTAGCTTGCAAACGAGATAACTAGACTCATCGCCTTATATCGAGGTTCTCAAGCGCCTGGTAGCTCAAAATCCCAACAAGTCATGTGGACCAGACGGCTTCCATCCCAGATTGCTCAAAGAATTAGCATCCGTTCTGGCCGGCTCTGAAGGGTTACTAGAATTTGAAACAAGAACCAACACCAGGGGCCACGGCTATAAGCTAAAAAAATTGCGCTGCAACTTCTCCACGCGACAAAATTTTTTCTCGCTTCGAATCCCCGACATGTGGAATAGCCTCCCCGATGACATCGTTGGCGCTCCAAGTATGAACGCGTTCAAGAACAGACTAGATAAAGCTATGGAAAAATATATGTTCAGATTTGAAAGGCCTAGCTCCTTATCGAACCCAGTGGAAGTCTAGTAGCTACTTCAAACTATCGCCAGTCATGAAAAGATCCGATCAAATGACACAAGTTTAGATCTATGAACAAGGCACGAAAAGGAAAAGAATCGGCGACAGGCCACATCAGGCCTACACTTCAGCGCCGACATCACTATGTTATGTTATGTTATGTTATAGACTTAACCTGCAGTTGAGAGGTAACGCCGAAGAGAAACGGGACTCTGATAGTTAATTCCCGTAACAGCGGATAGATTCTACTCGGTTTTGGGAAGGGCAAATCTATCATCGTAGTCAAAGAAACACAGGGAAATTCCAATAATTACCTCACCGACCAACGCAACCTAACAGAGTGAAGAAGAAGAACCGCAGTAATCAGTCGCAGTAATTTTTAAGGCCTACAGAGGCAAGTAGGGCAGATTTAACAAAAAATGCAGTAGCTGTGACGTTGAACGAACAACAGCAGAAATCACAGCAACAAATGCAACAGCTGCTGAGCCATAGACCTCTGACAGTGCAGTGTTGCAGCAACTAAAAACGCTTGCAAAGGAAGAGTGGCAGCATGATATCCAACATAAAAGGGTCTCTTCCTAAGAAAAAAACGTCACAAGATCAGCGTACTTAAAAAAATTTCCGAGACAGAAGGAATAATCATGCTTGCCTTCACCGAGTCACACCTAAGAGAGGATATCCAAGATGGAGAAATCGCGATGAAAAGCTTTCAACATTACCGAGCAGACCGAAAAGAAGGGAGGTAAAAGGAGGCGTTACAGTCTACCTCAGAAACTTCCTCGCATCAAAAACAGTTCCCCTGCATCTAGGCTCAAATGGATATGTGGAACACGTTATCGGTTATGCTATACACATCTCATCTCGACGCAGATATCAGGCTTCAGGACGATGCAGCGATCAGGCCAGAAACCAGGCAACACAGCTACTTCGATTCGCTAGGGAGCATTAGCTAATTCAACAGGTGTTCAAGCTAGCTAGCTAAGTCGATATCCTGGCTCTATTCTTCACCAGCAATGAAGAACTGGTTGCTGATATTCGTGTTTAGGAGACCGCACTATCAGGCCTTTGACTAGTGATGGTCGAGACAACAATTGAGAGGGGAATCCAGCCCAGACCCATACCTGGAGAGGGGCTAGCTGGGCTAAATTTTCATCATCGAAGAACAGACTGGGAGGCCATTGGGAACGAACTCCTCGAAATTGAATGGAGATCTGAGTTCCTAGATTAAACGTCAAAGTGATGTACAACAAGCTGTGCGAAGTATTACTGCAGGTATGCGCACGTCACACGCCGAGAAAAACGACCCCCAAATGGCACATAATTCCAAGGGAATGACGGATCCTCATGAGAAAACGAGCGAGATTGAACAACCAGATAACGGCCGCCTCCAGAAATATGGTGTAATGGAGGCTGGAACATCTAAAGGAGAAAATTGAGGACACCGAACGACAGTTGGAGGACTCACACGAGGTGGAGCAACAAGTTGCGGAGGCGCAAGCGGTGTCTGCCATTTAAGAGGATCCCAAATATTTCTATAAATATGTCCAGTCATAGGTCAAAATCAGAGCGTCAGTGGGGCCTTTGTAAAATAACGATGTCCTTTTTGGAGACGACCGGGGCATGTGCGAACCAAATTGGAGTCATTCAAGAACTTCCAAGGGGGCAGGGACTGATGCATTGAGTTTGAAACACCGGATAACGAAAACTTAGCGCATAGGGGTCGGAGATGGCAATAAAACACTATTAATTACTGCAAAAATTATTTCCTTTGTTCATGGATTTTAAGGAGAAAGTTCAGGCCGAAGTAGCGTGACTGGGCCGGGAGAGTGAGCTTGAGCCGGGTTAGGACCCAACCACACGTCGAGATAGCTCCGCAGCCCACGACCCCATGCAATTTCGTTTAGTGCTGCCCTTTAAAAAAATGAATGTACAAAATATTAATTAATCTGTTAATATCTCTTAAATCTACAGGAAACAATTATATTTAAATTTATCTCTTAATTTTCATTAATCTATCACTTACATAATATTTGGTAAATTTATCTAATTATCAATTAGAGAAGTAAATTAATTATCCAATCAGGGCACAGCCCCTTTATCTATTTATAAGAATCAATTGCACGCCAGCATGAATTTATCTATAAATTAATTTCAAGTTATATCTGATAATAAAATTAGAGAACTATCTCACTTGCACGGCAGCACCTTTATTATAGTTGAGGTAAGGGGAAGAGTTAAGCTAAGTCAGCTTCAGAAACAGTCTGGCACACACTCGCACGACGTCGTGGTACCGCGACTCACGTTTCATAAG